GTCGGCGAGATGCATTTTTATCTATTTTCCATGCCGAACACATATTTTAATTTATATGGCGCGTTTGAACATTTTAATTAGAAATTGGCGACTTGCATAAATTTACGATCGAACAGATGGGAATCCGCAACTGCGACGCATTCGACGATGTTGCGCGATGACGTTTTTGATTATGTATATGTTGAATCAACAATACAAGTCCTTGAGAGTGACTTAGGTACTTAAACTTACACTTACGAGAAAAACAATTGCAAGCGCGTGCTACGTCCGCGGCGAAAACAAAGTTGTAAACTTTGCAAATGCGTTACACGTTACAATTTGTGCATTTTCATTTGTTTGCGATGTCAAACGCGTGTGGCGCCAGCGTTCGGAAGTTTTCTCAATTGGGTTTTGTTTATTTGTTATATTTTTGTTTTGAGCTGGCTGAAATGACTCGTGACTTGGCGGCCAGCAAGCGCCGCGACGCCAAATTCGCTACCGAAACGGTTCGTAATAAATAATTTACCAATTAGAATGTTATTAATTGTCTGCAGACAGACACACATAAGTTTTTCGTTTGTAATCTTTTGCTTATTTAATAAATAACGTCCGGTTACATGCATAATGATAAACAGAACGTGATAGTCGGTATCAATATGATACATAAACATAAAATGCGTTGTTAAATACGTTAATAGAATAGAATAACTTAATAACAATTGCATATTGATAGGATTGAAATTCTACGCATTAAAAGTTTTCCAGAATGTTTCAGATTTGTTTAACTATTGTCTCAGTGGTGGGCGAGTGTAATTGTTTATCTGTTTATCAATAGATTTTATTTCAATGGCGTCGTTTGTGCGCTGTGATATTAAATAACAATGCGATGGAATGACGCAGAGGCGATTGTTTCTTTGTTATGTGCTGGGCTGAAATAAGAGACATTTGATAAGTGCACAACGTGTGCGTTTGTTAATTTGTCTTCTATTGCATATTTACTCACTGATTATATAATTTTATTTAGTTTAATCATTTGTTTCGGGATAAATTCAAACGCCATGTTGTTCTTAGATCTCATATTTTTCTGGTGTGTATGAGAAGCTTTTTGAGATTCCGACACGCCTTGGTAGTCGTGCTCGTTTGGACATTAGGGTGAAATTCTAATCGGGCTTTTAATCTCGAGCGGTCATAAATCAGTGCAGTGCGTATGCGCTCGCCGAGGCAGCGCATTAATCTATATCTATTGCCATCGCGGATGGCACTCTTCGCACACACATTCATACGGCGTTCGTTCGTTCGTTGGTTGGTTGGTTGGTTGGTTGGAATACGGAAGATGGGAATTTATGTGTTCGTATTGCCACTATGACACTGTGGCACTATTTTGTGCCTACGTGCGGCTAACAACGTACAACTCGATACACTCCATGCACGCATTAGAATTTCACTTTTTTCCTTCCTTCTTAGGTAGTTTTAACGAGAATTGATTTGTATTTAATGGAAATTGTTGTTTGACGTCGTAAAAATTGGATTTTATTGCAAAATGATGGAAAACAATCGAATAGAAGCTCTGAAATAACACGTTTCGGCGGAAATTCTATTAAATTGATAGTTTTAATTGTATTTCACTTCATAGACAATAAAAGCTTATTCTGGTGATAACTATACTCGTAAAATTGAACAAATTATATATTTTTTTTCAATATTTAAATGGTTTTATTGATTACTAGCTTTAACCCGCGGCTTCGCTCGCGAATATCTAAAATAATGAAGTTGCTTCCGTACGCGTATGTAGTCACAAAAGAAGTAACAATGAAGTAAAATGGCGGGAAGTTTAAAATGGCTGAAAGTATAGTCTATGGAAGTATAGTGTACACGTGTACAGTCTCCATAGTGTAGTCAATTGGATTTGATGTTGACGTAGCTGTCGGTAATACAGTGTGATAATACAGTGTGATGGTACTATAGTACTTAGGTTTAGGTTGCTGGAATGCTAGATGGCGTTAAAGTAGTCAAATAGCCAGATGCAGAAGTATTATTGGCTAAACTATTTCTTTATTTTATTTAAAAATAATTTTTTGCAGCTTGCAGCTCGCCGCGTAATTCTCCATAAATATTAAAAAGAGCGAAACGGGCTTTAATGCTTGCGCGCGACACGCGGTCGTCGGCGGCCGGAGGGAGGCTTCGAAAGCTCCAGCCGTCCAGGCATCGAAAGCTCGCTGCTCGGTCGGGCGTGTGTGGAGAAATTTCAATGATTTATTCAACCGGATTTATTTGATGTTTAATTACGAATGCCAACGCAGCTTAAATCGGCACAACGCAAGCACACACATCCGTTGAGCTTTTTTTTCAAAAAGCTCAAATCATACAAAACAGATTCTATATTTTTTTTATTTATAAAAAAACAACACGGATTAATATGCATATTTTATAAGTTTAACTTTGTGGCAGAATGCGAGCGTATTGAAGTTTAGAGCTTTTGCGTAAAACAGTCATAAACGCTTTGATTATGCGCACTCGTTAACGTTTTGCGGAATTATGGCCGGGGACCTGCTTCCGACGCGCTGCTGGCTGCGGATATTCCTAACCTGGGGGTAATTACCCCCGCAGGGGTAAAACGGAGATTCTAGGGGGGTAACACGGGATGGCACAAAATAGTATTAAAATAGCAATAAACAAAATAATAGTACGGTAAATGGCGCTATTTAAATATTATATAAATTTATATATTACTTTACTAGTTACATAAACGTGCAATTTCTTACATAATTAGCATATTTTCGTTCGAATTTATGTGGTTTTACTTATTTTAAATTAGGTAGGGGTAAACTCAATTACCATACTTGTTCACAGGGGTAGTGACCTTGAAAAGGTTAGGAACCACTGCCCTACAGCTTGGAATTTTTTTTACAACAAATCCTAAAGTACAAACATATGGTATATGACCATGTCGGATTAACTCGGGTCCGGATTACCGGGATTCCACTGTATATGTACAGTGTGTGAAGTTAAGCGTCTACCAGCTCTACAGTGTATAAAAGCACATAGTTGACAGGTGATAACTCCTAACTACATCTCTAGGAATCTATTAACCAAATTAATTACCAACTTTGAGCCTCAAAACACTATCATATACCGATTATAAACACCCAATATTGAATCGAATAAAATAATAATCGGCTCTCTGTTGCTTCTCTGTTGCTGTCTTCGTAAACTAGTATGTCACGAATGTAGTGCAATATCAAAAGATGATGGTTTTAGTAGATAAAAAGAAACAAAACCACATAGAATTGAGAGAATTCGATTCTGTTTGGTTTGACTAAAATTTTGCTCACGTGATGACCGACACCAAATATTAACACAAAGTAATGCATTAAAAATGCATTTTGGGGTTTTGAAGGCTAAATATATAAAAACATTCATCAAGTGACTAAACGGAATATATGTATATGAGAACTTTATGAAAGTACACATATGTGCCTACTAATCTTAATATATAAAAATGAAACCCGTTTCGCGTTGTCACGCCATAACATGAAAACGGCTAGACCGATTTGGCTGATTTTTTTTTGTAGTTTTCTAATACTTTGTAGAAGGTGCTTACGGAAAAAAATATTAAGAAAATGACTCAGAAAGAAAGTTTTCTATTGTCCCCGTCTCCTCTTTGTGCGATGCTTCGTAGCTTCCCCCCCAAGCATAGAAGTGTGTAAGTGTGTACGTGCGGGTTGAAGTTGACCCGTTGATGTTTTTGTTTGGAGAAGGAAAGTCGCTTTCTCAGTCTGTCGCTTTCTATGCTTAAATCTTTGAAACTACGTAACGGATTTTGATGCGGTTTTTTACTTCCGTGCGAAGCCGGAGCGGATCGCTAGTAATTGATATAATATTTGTAAAATGTTTATACTTCATGTTTTTTTTTCTTCAACCACCTTTTAAACCTATTGTATCAGTTTGAGATATTGGCGATGATGAACTTGCTAATGGTGATGGTACATTTCCGAAAGACAAACTTATTAATGTAACATAAATTGTAAAGTTTCTTTTATTACATATATAATAGTACTTATTATTATACTGATCAATAAAACAAATCAGACGTAATTATGCCCCAATAATTCCAAAATAATAAAAATATACACAATATGAATATAAGCTAAGTAGAGTTAAGTAAACACTTACTGTACGCTATACCCTCACAATATCGCTGAAACGATATTTTTACAAAACCATTGCAAATCAATGCAAGTATCGTTTCAGCGATATTGTGAGGCTATAGCGTACAGTAAGTGTTTACTTAACTTTACTTAGCTTATACTCACCCTCTCGTACTACCATTGTATTTCAATAATTTTTTTATTAAAAAAAGGTAGCCTATAACCATTCGGGGACCACTAAGACTACGTGTACAAATTTTCATGATGATCTGTTAAGTAGTCTTTGCGTGAAAGCATGATAAACATCAGGACTTTCGCATTTATAATATTAGTAGGGATTTTATGATCGGACATTTTTATCAACTTTTATTTTGTCAATTTTTTCTATACGAGATGATTTTAACAATAGATATGAAGTAAATTTTAATACTTTATACTTTTTCCGCAATTCCCGTTTCACCACGTGTTGTATAATACATTATTATTTTAATTTTCGTTCATGTTTTTATTAGCCATAAATACGTAACAATTTACGCGCGTTTTTCCGCAAATACCATCTTTTATCCGTCACTCGTGAAAACAAGCAGTGACAACGAAAAAGAAATTGACTTTTCTCTTCCCACACGTCCCAACGTCTGCAAATTTAATTACTTTGGATGCGTTTCAAGTCCGCCCATGTTCTCTCTCGACGTTCGACGTCGTTTATTACACGAATTGTATTTTTATCGATGTATCGTATCCGGGTGACGTAAAACAGCCATCGGACGAGAAAATGGGAAACAATTTGGACATGTTTAATCTGTTGCATTAATTTATGTACATATGCTATATGACGTACCAGCTTTTTTAACAATGTGGTTTTGTGTCATGCAGGTAGAACAGCGAGATGTGCCTGGCATCGACAGCGCCTACCTGGCGATGGACACCGAGGAGGGCGTCGAGGTGGTGTGGAATGAAGTACAGTTCTCCGAGAGGAAGAACTTCAAGGCGCAAGAGGAGAAGATCCAGCTCGTCTTTGAGAATCTCACCCAACTCGAGCATCCGAACATTGTCAAGTTCCATCGCTACTGGACGGACACACACAACGATAAACCCAGAGTATGCTTGATAATATAACATTTTTGTGATGAAATTGTTTATTTGCTTATTTTATTTTTAGGTGATTTTCATAACGGAATATATGTCCTCTGGCTCACTGAAACAGTTCCTGAAGCGCACCAAACGCAACGTGAAACGACTTCCACTGCAAGCCTGGCGTCGATGGTGCACGCAAATTTTATCAGCTTTAAGGTAACCCACAAATCTCTTGTTGCGCACTTTTCCGCTCTTTGCGCCTGCTGTGTTTGTTTTCGATTAGATTTACAGCTCTCAAAATGGCCGTCGTGTGTCGTCGATGCTACCTGAATTGAATATTTTCTAGATTAAGTCGAGCCTTAAGTTAATATTAATATGTAAGCCGCACAAGTTACACTCGCATGACTGAGATACGAACGTGATTAGAAAAAAACTAGATTTCGTTATATTGCACACCAGACAGTCATGCGGGTGATTTCTTTTGTTTTGTCAAGTACGTCACGCACGCGTCGATGTCAGCGTAAAGGTAAGTGGCGCCGCCTGTCGGATAGTAAGCGCAAGTTACAAAGTTAAACGGAACGAACGGAGCGTTTCCAGCTGAACGAGCTCGGAGTCAGTCACTATGATCTGCAGTATGTTTTCTTTCCAGTTATTTGCATTCCTGTTCACCACCGATCATCCACGGAAATCTGACCTGTGATACCATATTTATTCAGCATAACGGGCTCGTCAAGATCGGATCAGGTAAACAAACCAACCACAGCAACCACTTTCTCTCTATATATTTATCATATCAACTTTATATTTATTTCACAAGCAAAACAAACGAATGCGTTGTGTAAATTAAAATGGAGTCGTGTTGCCGATTACATTTTCGATTTGTTTGGCTGATGACGGGGCGGATTTTCCGCGGCGATTGTTACGCGCGATGGCGGACTTCGAAAAATCAACATGGCCTCCGTTCATGCATAGCTTATTCATAAATTGCGAGTATGGAAAATGTTGAATTTTGGAATAATCCGCCATCGAGCATACAGGAATCAAAACGGAACGCGTGATGTTAATTCATTTTGTTGCATTTGATGACGGATGGGGATTGGTATGTCAACAGCCGGCATTTGTAATGCGACAGGATGGATATTCTGTAAAACATGGCGTCTTCCTGCTTGAATCTTAACAATTTTCGACTACTTTTGTAAACTTTTATTGCAAAGGTGTTTTTTATGGTGTAATTTATTAGGAAGTCGAAAATTGTCGACAATCGTTGTGGTTAAAGACGCACGCCATCAGCCGCCTTGCAGCGTCCACTCTGCGATCACTCGGAAAATACTAAACCAACTCTTTCGTTTCTTCTTTCTCTAGTTGCCCCCGATTCGATACATCATCATGTAAAAACGTGTCAGGAAAACATCAAAAACATGCATTTTGTGCACCTGAATATGGCAGTAAGTACTTAATTATCATTTGAGGCGTTTTACTCAATCAATTTTAGGTTATTGTAGGTTATGTTAGAATAGCTATCAGAGATATCAATTAGGTAGATTATAGTAAATAGTTTTAATCAGAATAGAAAGTTGTTTTTTTTTGGTAAATGCCTCAAATCTAGACGATAAATGCCATATCATCGATGACCTGCCATTTTGTTTGTGTGTTACCTCTCGCGTACGTATAGCAATCATGGGTCCCGCCATCGACATCTACTCGTTTGGTATGTGCGCGTTGGAAATGGCCGCACTGGAAATCCAAGGCAATGGGGACTCCGGTAATCTCGTCACCGACGAGAACATCAATCGAACCATCGACTCGCTGGACGACACCCATCAGAAGGACTTCATCCGGCTCTGTCTCAACAAGAACCCGACGAAGCGGCCTACCGCGCGCGAGCTACTCTTTCATCCGCTACTCTTTGAGGTGCACAGTTTGAAACTCCTCGCGGCGCACGCATTAGTTAAAAGTGCTGGTAAGATAAGATACATTTTGATACATTCTGTATAATGGTGACTTCAATTGTTAATTGATGATTTTTAGCTAACATATCTGAAACAGTGTCAGATGAGTCCTTGCAGAAATTTTATGGTTCTGAAACTGTGATAGCCGAGATCCAATACAAGAATCAGCATCATCCGCCCGTGCAGACGCGCGTTGTGGACGTGCCCGTCAGCGAAAAGCTGGAGAAATTCATCGAGGATGTCAAGTAATTACAGTAGATACAATTTTTGATTGAATTTTGTGTGTTATAATGTTTTATGGATTTTATAGAAATGGAATATATCCACTGACTGCATTTGGTGCTAAACAACCCCCTCCGGCGCGATCGAGGGCGATATCGCCGGAAATGGCAGTGTCGGAGAAATCCGTTACGCCGGAACCGATGGACGTCGAGGCGCGCAAGATCGTCACAATGATCTGCCTGAAAAAGCGCGTCGACGTCAAGACGACGAAGGAGGAGAACGAGGAGACGACGGTAAACACTTTCCACCAACGCAAAGCAAACACACTGGACTAATTAAATGTGTTGTGTGCTCTTTTCAGTTAACTATTGTACTCAGGATGGACGACAAAATGAACAGGGAGCTGACGACAACGCTGTCGACGACCGATACACCGGCGGCGCTTGCGCACGACCTAGTGCATTATGGTTTCATCAATGAAGTAAGTAAACATCTAAATTAAGTTTTATTCGTTTATTTAATATATCTCTTTTTTTAAGTCCGATCAAGTAAAAGTGTCGACCGCAATCGAAGAGTCCATATTAAACGGCTCGGGTCACAGCAGTCCGACGCATAACTTCTCCTACCTGCCCGCCGGAGCGGCGGCGGCGGCGACGGTGGCCGCTGCTGTCGCCGCACAACAACAGCCGCCGCCGCCGCTGTGTCAATTGTCTTCGACGCCGTCGTCGCTGGTAACGGCCGTCACATCGACGCCTACGCAAGTGCCCATGCACTCCACTAGTTAGTAGATACTGCCACTTATTCCTTTTATAATTATTACTATCCCGTTTTTAAATAACGATAAGTTACGCCACAGACAGTGTCTCGAAACAAACTAATTCGAAGTAGAGGCGGCGCGCATCACGTCCGTTGTTCGCCAACATTCAGGCTCATCTAACATCTTAAAACCTAAACTAGATTTGTATCTATTGTCATCAAGTTCTTCGAATTTAGCAGTCGCATTGCAAGCTATTATGAATGAATAGACTACGAATTTATCGATTTAATCCTAGCGTTTTGTGATGACCTGAGGTTGCGCACCGCGGACATCGAAATGCGATTGCCGCACTAAAATAAGGACGACTTCGTGACGAGAAGGATATCCTCCGACACTCACACACACACACTGAGAGCTGGGTACTCTATTCTCTGATAGAAGACTTTTAGGATCGAAGACTGTAATAAAAAATTATTAAAAATGCTGGACATTGATAGAATAGGTGTGCTAGTCATGTGACCATACGTTTATCTGTGATCAGAGCTCCAATGACACTGGACTGTTTTATTAAATTTATCAATAGGTATCATATTATGTATGTGATCTGTAATATCATCGTATAATTTTTTTTCTTTCGAAATCGAGTTGTGGGAATTGATAAGAGAATCTGCAAGATCGAGTCCCGGACAAACGGAGATGGACTGTAAGGAATGTAAATAATAGAGTAAGATTTGCCGCATTTGCAAATACTTATTTTCAAGCTTAAATCATAATCATCAAACATAAAATCAAGCTTTCTAAGGTCAAATGTAAACATTTTTTTTCAAATACTTTCTCTATATTCATCAGATTCTTGTTTCTATGCTAGTAATTTATTTGATGATGATAATGATTTAGGATTGAAAATAAATGGTCGTTTTGAGGAAAAAACAGCTTCCGTTTATACTAAGAATTAAACAAACAGAAACACATGGTAGAAAGTTGATAATTGAAAATTATAAAAAAATACTCGTGTTGCAAACGTATTATGATTTGCCCCTTTGAGACTGATGTAATTTTTAATTAATCTAAGCGTTAGATAAAATGAGAAATGAATTAGCTAAAGAAAAAAAAAACGACTAAAGTCTAAACTAAAACAAAAAAATTGTAATACTAGGCATACAGAACAATAGTTTCGAGTGCGAGTGGCGGCGATCAGCGCGAATTTTCTTTTGTAGTCCACGACCAAAATTGCGAATTTGCGAACTAGATTTGTGGCTTGTGTTGCTTGGTTTTATCGATGATTTTTTTTGCGGTGGCTTTCGGAGGAGAGTGGAATGTGGAACATCTGTTGGCTGTTGGCTGCGAGGTACCCTCTAACGTTGGCAAAACAGGGAATTTATTAATCGTCTTTATCAGTAATAATTAGTCAAAACGACAACCGAATCAGTCCTATCAATTTAAAAACAACTTAATCTTAAAATTCATGCTAGACACAATTAAAATTTGATATTGTATTTAATTAGGCCTAAGTCTATTTGTTCGGAAGTTGTTTTAAAAAATCTATTAAATTATTTGTTATATGAAAGAAATTGTGAATATGAGCGGATCACAAGCAGTTGTTGGCGATACGATGAGACGATTACAGAGTGTCGAAGATGTAGTTATTGATAAGAGAATGCGCTGGTATGCAATATTGTACATATTGATAGGAATCGTACACGTAAGACACGCAAGAGTGAAACTAATTTTTACTGAATGAATTACATCACATGCGGTCAGCGCGTAATCAAAGACACGTGCACAACGCATCAATACTTAATGAATAAAGAGCTATTATTATTTCTATTTGCTAAATGTGAATTGTAATGTTTGATTTGCGAAAGTGTTATGTATGCGAGGATTATTTTACGCTTGTGCATGTGTCTGCGAATTCATTTTGTACGAAGTCGTAGGCGGAAGCGTTGTGACATATAGACAAGGACTGTTGGAATTGGGATTGTTAGAGGACCTCCCGTGTGATATTACGCTCAAAAACAAAACAAAAACAGAATGAAAATGGCATGCAAAAAGTCGGGTCGCTTCAGTTTGTTCATGTATATTATATATAGTCAATAACATATAAGTGCGTTCATTCAGAATCGATTTACCTTCTTTTGTTTTAATTTAATCGTGTTATGTTCCATTGTAATCCCAATAATTAAAAGGCATATATTTAATGCAGCAGACGGAGCAAATGCGAGGCATTAACACTTTGCGACGATGCAACACAAAGAGGCCAGGCGCGACATCGAACTGCGTTTCGTTCAGAGTTGTTATTTAGTCTATTTTTATTACGAAAAAAACACGAAAAAACTAAACAAAAACACGTACGAATAGAATCTATCTTTATCCCCGTTTTTATTGCAGCAAGCTTTATATCTTTAATCGAACTACACTGTGCCCATTACTAAGTAAAAGTTAGAGTTACAATGTATTTATAAAACTCGAAGCGAGATTGTGAAGTCGAAGTCTTTTAACAAATGCATCTGCAAATACAAACACATGATCTTCCTCAACTTTTGGAACAACTGACAACAAATATTTGCTTTGATTTGTTATCTCGAACACGGATGTATAAGAAGCAGGAGATTAAAATGTATATTTAAGTTGTGTTTAACTTTTTCCCGAATTGTAACTATTGTTTTGCTTCTCTGGGTTTTCTTGTTTTGATTGGTTGTTCCATGTAACTAAAGAAATACAACATCAGACAACATAGACTCCCTCACATTGAGCGGTACAGTTGACGAATTTACAAACTTTCAGCAAATATTTTCGTTCCGAGAAATAATTGACACAATCAATTCTGTAATGAAATGCTATGAGACTTGCATTTATGCTTCTGCCAAAATACGAAATGTTGCTGTCGTTTTTCTTTGTGGAAATATCGGAAATTAATACACACATATTGTAACCATTTATGCAAGATGGCGAACGGAGGTGATTATTTTGTATCTTTTGGATGAACTGTAAAATTTTGTATACTCATTCTGGCGCTATGTTTTGATTGGAATCATTTAGACGAATCCATCTAGCTAACTAACTGATTGAAACAAGATAAAAGCGGTGAAATTCTATGCGAACGGCTAGTGATATTTATTTCCGATATTATCGTTTTATTTAAAGAAAGAAACATAGATAAGTTGCGTCGATATGATTGTATTATATATTATAGTATCATATAAACAACAGGCTGTTTTACTGTATACCTTTATTTAAGTAAATATGCAATATGGCCAATTTATGTTTCAAATTTTATAATTTGACGGACTAGAAATTTTTCACCGTCATTTATCGGAAGAATGTATGTATCTTCTGCCACGACGTTAATAGGTAAGTGCAATATTGTGATTTCAGTTCGTTGCGTTTATTAGATTACATGTGTGTGTGTGTCAGTTCGGCACTCGCGATGCTCCAATGTTTACTTAAATATAAGTCGATAATATGATCCGAGATGTCTCTAGCATGTATATATTGCATAAAATTCGATTCGCATTTATCGCCGCGAGTTGTGTTTTGGTGCAGTAAGTGCACACTTCTTGAAGTGGACACACGCGTTACCTTCTCAGACCACGCGCTCTTATCAGCTTTTTTGTTTGTTTACATCCGTGAATTTGCATTCCTTGTTTACTTGCGCGCACCATTAGAATTAAGTCAGTTAGGTTCGAGAAGTTGTGTGATTGTGCTTCTGTATATCGCGATATGTTTAATTAAAAATCAAATTATATTTAATAATACAAAATGTTTTAATTTATGAAGAACCTTTCCATCGGCTTTGGATATCTGTGCAACACCAAAACACCAGCAAGCCACTTCGTAAGTAAATAATATTAATATTTTTAACTTGATTTTCTTTCAATTTTATTTCCATGAGAGGAATTAAATTTGCTAAAGAGGCGTTGGTCGTGAAATGTGCATGAAACAAATGTTATTTTGTAGGTGGTTCGGGGCTCTAAGTAGTATGTATTGTAAAATTGCCGAACTCTAGATTATTCTAGACACATTCACACGCCGTCGGCTGCGGCATCGCCTCTCGCGTGTCATTCTTTAGCAACCGTTTCTACTATTTTCACGTTATCTACATACTTTGATAACACGAGAGTTGTTTGTTATTAATAGTGTACCTTAACCGACCCTCGAAATCAAGCGGAAACTGCCAGAAACTTGCTTTTCAAATGACGTAATTTTTTATTTTTCTTAAAATATGTTGTGGAAACTGAATCATATTTCTAGAACTGTTTGCATTATTTTCATGTTATCTATATGTTAGGATCGCGCGAGCATTGTTCTGAACGATACACATTTTCCGCCCCTTGAAATCGCGAGGAAACCTGAAAATTGCTTTGAAAATCTGGCAATTTATCGATTTTCTTAACAAAAAATGATGTGGAAATTGGGTCATATCGTGGGAGCTATTACTGGTGGTTTTAAACGATACACATTTGCTGCCCCTCAAAATACCACGGGAACTGCCTGAAAATTGATCTTCAAAGTTGGTAATTTTTTATTTTTCTAAAAACACGTGGAAATTGGGTGATCTCTCCGCAACCGTTAGCGAGCATAAAACGACGAAATTGTTTGGGAACTCCCTGAAAATTGCTCTCTAAATCTGGTAAATTTTTATTTGTCTTTACACACGTTGTGGATTGGGTTTAATCTCAGAAACTGTTTACATGATTTTCATATTACATGTTCGGATCGTGCGAGAAGCTCTTTAATCAGTGCATCTCTGACGGCCCCAGAAATTCCTGGACAACTGCTTCAAAATTGCTATCTCTTTTCTGTAAATTTGCGGGAAGTAATCAGAAATACTACTCGAAATTTGATTACACTCTTGAATGCGCTCACAAACATTTTTATTATGTAAAATATGTTACATTTTCAGTTTACACAAACGCTGTTTGCCGATCTTATGGCCATACCTATAATTTAGGAGTTTCTAATACGGTAACTATAATTTTCTTCTTGGTTTAATTTTATCAAAATTTGTATTTAATAATATCGTCTAATAACAATGTATTCTTACATTGATTTACTTACTTTTACTTGTAGTGCTTATCGAAATGTGTATATAAACAACTTTATTATCGCGTTTAGAAAACGTCATGTTGCGTTCTCGCTGCAGGCTACGAACGGTTGTCCGGATGTCTCAGTCGTGCATCAGTTTGTTCGTGCGCTCGCGCGGTGCGCCACGGTTTTGCAATTTTCTCACGGGAAAGCCATAAAAATTGCATTTTTGTGTTTCGAGGCACTGCTTTCTGTTTGTTTTAGGGCTGTAGAAATTGAAAGGGAACTCGCAGCAGGGTCATTTTTGCATCAAGGTGTAAGTATTATAATTCTGTATCATCTCTATGACCTAGTTTTGCAATTTTCTTACGGGAAAGCCATAAAAATTGCAGTTTTGTGTTTCGAGGCACTGATATCTGTTTGTTTTAGGGCTGGTGAAATTAAACGGGAACTAAAAAGAAGGTCACTTTTGCATCAAATTGTAAGTATTGTCATTCTGTATCATCTCTATGACCTAGTTTTGCAATTATCTCACGGGAAAACCAGAAAAATTGCATTTTTGTGAATTGAGACACTAATTTTTCTTGTTTTAGGGCTATAGAAATTGAACGGGAACTCGCATCAAACTGTAAGTATTGCCATTCTGTATCATCTCTATGACTTAGTTTTGCAATTTTCTCACGGGAGAGCCATAAAAGCTGCATTTTTTTGTTTCGAGACACTAATTTTGCTGGTTTTAGGACTTTTGAACCGAGTCTGACACTGTCGACGGACCATTCTTGCATCAGATTGTAAGTATTTAATTTCTTTATCATTTTCCTAAATAACTTTTGTGATTATCTCACAAATTGATCCCCAAAATTGCATTTTTATGTTCGAAGGACTAATTTTTGCCGGTTTTAGGGATTTTGCCCTTGAGTCTGACATCGTAGAAGGACCATTCTTGCATCGGATTGTAAGTATTTAATTTCTTTATCATTTTCATATATAGCTTTTATGAATAACCTATTAAATTGCGAGAAAATATACTTTTTGTGTTTCGAAGCACTGATTTTGCTGGTTTTCGAGGTTTAGCACATGAACGTGTCATCTGCGTAATATCAGCGAGGTCCATAAAGATGTAAAATTTAATTCTTGATGATGTTACATTCTAATGTCGTAGGAGATGTACGTGTAGAACGTGTGTTGTTAGATAAATTGTACGTTTCGTACGTTGTTATGTCGATAATTTGTACCTGTTTGTTTACAACATGTTTACATTAAATGTAAACTTTTTTTTTTAATTTTAGTCATTTTGAATAGTTTTTGGGGTATATATAATATGGATTGTGTTTTATTAATTTTCGTTCAAGTGAGTGAAATTGAAATACCAAGATGAGGTGATAGCAGGTGAGTTAGAATAAGAGAGCAATATCAAAGTTTCATGTTCAATCCATGTTCTTTGTATGATCTGCAGGATATTCCACACTTTGTTTATACGTGCGGTTCGACGTTGGCTTGCGCTGCACGCTGTGCGCTGCAATTTGAAATTTGAACAGTACCCCACCGGTCGCCGTGTGTCGGCGTGTGCTGTTTTTCCTGTTCAATCAGTCGGTGATACGCAATTGTGCTATGTGCACGTGTTCCATTTCTTCTCCGCTACTGTTCGTTGCGACTGTTAGTATTTCGACTCGAAACTTAAGACACCACGTGTGCGTGTGTAAGCCATCAGTCGCCGGTCTTCGGATCTCTTGCGTTGGGCTACGGATTCCAATTGGATTTATAGGCCAATATGGTATTGTTAATTAGAAGGGATAAATCACGCGTTTTCTCAGCGTGGCATAGTTGTTAGTGCAAAAGTTATGCAGTGAGTAGTAACATCAATTCTACTAACAATTCTGCTTTGTGTGTAACATTTCATAAGAGAGCGTTGTGGCTCGATGGTATGTAGGATATGCCTTGGACCGTACGAACGTTCGTTTTATTAAAAAAGAAAGAAGAATGTATTGTTAAATATAGTTAATAAAACTCAATTTACAATTAAAATCTCATTCATATTTTTCTGTGATATCATATTTGTCGTTTTCAGGATATGCGTCTTAAATCATATTTCATATAAAGCTTATGTGAGTGCAACAAAGGTAAGAATTGTGTTGTTGTTTTTAAAAAGTTGAATAAAGTTGAAACATTAATAGAAGAATCAAATATAAGTGATAAAAACACTCGGTGGACGAGTGGATACGTGCACCTGCTGGCATGCTGTTGTACACGGATCGAGTCTCAGGTATAGGAGGCATTTTTCTCAAATATAAAAATATCAGGTGCAATTTGGGTTGCATATATGAATGGCAACGAAATATAAGAGAAATTGAAATATAAGTGAAGGCAATAGAAATAAGAAAGCAGGTGGAGAAACAGAGAAATAGAAGAAATAGTAGAAGAGAAATAGGAGTAGGTAGATGGAAGAGAACAGAGAGTAGAGTAGAAGTCGACATCGTAGCAGAACCATTCTTGCATCAGATTGTAAGTATTTAATTTCTTTATTATTTTCATATATAGCTTTTATGAATAACTTATGAATTAGCGAGAAAAATTTACTTTTTGTGTTTTGAAGATTTTGTGATTTTGCTGGTTTTCGAGGTTTAGCACATGAACGCGTCATCCGCGTAATATCAGCGAGGTCCCTAAAAATGTAAAATTTAATTCTTCATGGCGTTATATTCTAATGTCGTAGGAGATGTACCTGTAGAACGTGTATTGTTAGATAAATTGTACGTTTCGTACGTTGTTATGTCGATAACTTGTAACTGTTTGTTTACATTTAGTCATTTTGAAAAGTTTTTGGATTATATATAATATGGATTGTGTTTTATTAATTTTCATTCAAGTGAGGGAGATAGAAATACGAGGATTGGGTGATAGCGGGTGAGTTAGAATAAGAGAGTAATATCCAAGTTTCATGTTCAATCCATGTTCTTTATATGATCTGCGAACTTTTCACACTTTGATTATGATGTCACTTCGACCTTGGCCTGCGCAGCACGCTGTGCGCTGTTATTTGAAATTTGAACAGTACCGCACCGGTCGCCGTGCGTCGTCGGGTTCAAGTGACAATTCGCTATACTGCTCAGTACATCTTGCGCTGGCGTATTGGTTGTTGTTTTTACTGTTTAGTCAGTCGGTGGTACGCAATTGTGCTATGTGCACGTGTTCCATTTCTTCTCCGCCATTGTTCGTCGGGACTGTTAGTATTTCGGGCGATTTTAATACCGTGCGAGCCTTGTGATTTATCTCGACTCGAGACTTAAGACACCACGTGCGCGTGTGTAAGCCATCAGTCGCCGGCCTTCGGATCTCTTGCGTTGGGCTACGGATTCCAAATGGATTTATAGGCCAATATGGTATTGTAAATTAGAAGGGATAAATCACGCGTTTTCTCCGTGTGGCATAGTTGTTAGTGCAAAAGTTATACAGTGAGTAGTAACATCAATTCTACTAACAATTCAGCTTTACGTGTAACATTTCATAAGAGAGCGTTGTGGCTCGTTGGTATGTAGGATATGCCTTGGATCGTACGTACGTTCGTTTTATTACAAAAGAAAGAAGAATGTATTGTTAAATATAATTAATAAAACTAAATTTACAATTAAAATCTCATTCATATTTTTTTGTGATATCTTGTTTGTCATTTTCAGGATATGCGTCTTAAATCATATTTTATATGAAGCTTATGTGAGTGCAACATAGGTAAGGCTTGTGTTGTTGTTTTTAAAAAGTTGAATAAAGTAGAAACATAAATAGAAGAATCAAATATAAGTAATAAAAACACTCGGTGGTCGAGTGGATACGTGCACCTGCTGGCATGCTGGTAGACACGGATCGAGTCTCAGGTATCGGAGGCATTTTTCTCAAATATAAAAATATCAGGTGTAATTTGGGTTGCATATATGAATGGCAACGAAATATAAGAGAAATTGAAATACAAGTGAAGACAATAGAAGACATAAGAAAGCAAGTGGAGAAACAGAGAAATAGAAGGAGTAGTAGAAGATAGATGGAAGAGAATAGAGAGTAGAGTAGAGAAGAGGAGGAGATAGAAGAAAGAGAACAGGAGTGGATGAAATTTTTAAATTTTTTGGCACGTGTCGTTATAAGACAGTCTACGCCGGAGGCGCTCTAGGAGATCGCCCACTGCTTCGATGCGTCCATTGCTCCCGGCCCATCCTACAGCTACGATGTCTCTGCGCTTCATCCCCGAAATTATCAGGCATATCAACAATTTTTATGGTGGGGGATCATCCCCAGAGAGAGGGAACTCCTTATAAGGACGATCCTTATAAGGTCTTGTTCAAATATTTCTAAGTTAAAAGTCGTCTCAAGAGAGACGACACTTAAAAATACTCTTACAAGTTCTGACCTGTACCTGAAATGAAGGAAGGAGTACACAAATCATACAGGTTACCTTAACAATATTTATAGTGGGGATCATCCCCTGAGAGAGGGAA